GCGTGCTGGAACAGAAGGCACGAGAAGGTCCCAGGACCTGGGTTCTCTGGGCCTCAGTCTCCTCGGTAAAACAAGGCCATTGGATCACTGGCGAACCTGTTAGTTCACCCGTCCACTCCATTTCCACCGAGGACAGTCTATGTTTAATTCATCTGTGCCTCACTGGGCCTCACACTCCAGTATCCCCTGCTGGTACCTGGCATAGTGCCTGGCCCAGAGCGGGCACTGGAAAAACCCCTCAACAACCCACTAAGGGGATGTGTACTGCCCCCCCTCCTGCCCCAAGAGAGCACTCAGTCCTGGCTGGCACCAGGAGCCCGGCCCCTCACCCCAGCACGAAACCAGAGCCGGCGCCGCCGGGTGAGGAATCTGGGGACCAACTGTCACAGCTCCGGTATCACCGCCTCCAGGACGCCTGGGTCTGGCGCTGAGTCCCAGAGGGGCCCTGTCAGCCAGCTGTCCTGGGGGACCCCAGTTCTGCCCCAACCCCTCTGAGCTGCTCTCCCCGGGGAAATCAGAGAGTGCAGAAGACCTAGAAGGGGGGGGTGCTGGGGTGGTGGTCCCAGGGGCGGAGGTGTTTCTCTGTCCCGGTCCAAACTTCAGGCTGGGCTTCCAAGCCCTTGGAGATCGGGCCCAGAACAACAGAAGGACCCACAGTGGCCTCCTCTCTCCTCTAAAGTCTGTGGCCCTCCAAGTCCCAAAGGCTGTCTTGCCCTCACATTTACTCCTATTTGTCCACGTTCCTGGGTCATGCGGACGGACTAGTTTGTGTGTCCTGCTGAGGGCAGAGGTCAAGTCTGATGTTTCTTTTGAGCGACCTGCAAAGTTCTCCCAGGTACGTTCGTTCTCATTGATTGAAATGAATGAGCTGAGGGTGTTCCAGCAACAGACAGAAAACTGGCTGGTGTTTACATAACAAGGTGGACTTCCCCTGAGGGAGGGGTATTTTTAAAAAAGAAAATAGAAGTCCCATAAAGCATAGGAGAAGAGACCCACCTGACTAGGACAGATGGAGAAGGCATTCTGAGAAGAGCAGGGAGATGGGTCCGATAACCTCTATAAGGGCCAGCCAGCTAGTAGGGCAGCCTGGGGGGTGTCCTCCTCCCTCCCGAGGGGCAGGGAGGGGCAGGTATTAGGTGTATCCCCCGTCCCTTGGGACTTGGTGTGTAGACAGTGATAACAGGTGCCCAGGTTTGCTCAGAAAAGAAAGATACACAGATCTACACATACACAAATCCCCTCCCCCCAATTCTTGTCCTCCAGCCTCTACATGAACCTTGGGCCACCCATCTCAACTGGGTCACCTTTCCTGTCCCGCAGCCAGGCCTGTCTACACACGTATATACACACGCGAGCATACACACACACACACACACACACGCACATGAACACACACTACACATACAGCCAACTCCACAGGGCCCTTTGTTCCTCAGGCCTAAGGCCAGGAGCCTGGGGTGTGTGTGTGTGTGTGTGTGTGTGAGACAGAGTTTGCCTGCATTCCAGTGCTCAACAGGAATTATTTTTGGAATTATCTGCTCTTTGTTTGGGATGATCTTATTTCTGCAAGTCTAGATCTAGAACTGACTTCAAGTAATTCACAGTGGCTCAGGATCTCCAGTGCCTGGCACACCCTAAGAGTTCAATAAACGAATTCATTTTAAGAGCTGAATAAATGAATTAAATTTAATTAACAAAGACCTAAGTCTGGCCAAAGTCAACGGATGAGGAAATTGAGGCTCAGCAGCAAAGAAATGCCCAAGGGGCAGAACGAAGAGGCAGCAGTTTGGCTTCAGAGGCCTGCTCCTTCCCCTTACACCATGAAGCTTCAAATAAGCCGTTATACTCAACACACTCCTGCTTGTGTTTTAGGCAGGGCCCTGTGCTGGCTGGGCACTGGGGGGCCAAGGTGGGCGACAATGACAAAGATGAGAGTTACAGTCCTATTCTCTAAGGTCCTGAAGGGGAGAGATATGCCACCTACACACTTTTCTGGTCATAAGGCAGAGAGAGTGAGGGGTAGGGCGGGGTGGGCAAAGCCATCTATTGCCAAGCCTGGGCCCTTGTTGTCATAATTCTAGGTTGGCCTTGGAGAGAAACCCAGCTTGGCCGACAGGAGGGTCAGTAGAGGAGGGGAGTTCCCTCAACCAAGGAGGCCACCAGCCCTCTGAAAGCAAGGGAAGGGCTCATCGAAACCCCACCCCGGAACGTGGCTCCTCAAGGTGCCCATCCTTAGGCTCCTCTGCTTCGTGGACACTCGGGTGGCGGGTCCCCAGTGTGGGTGGACATGCCCCAGGCTGTCTGCAGGCACACACTCCCGTGTGCACACCCGTGCCATAGACCCAAGTGCACTCACACCTGTTCTGCCCTGCAGGGCCCGGGTCTACAGGTGCCTCTCCCACCGTGGAGATCTGCTGGGAGTCTAGCAGGACCCCTGGGCGTGGGCGTATGGAGCATTAACACACCCAGGGCCTGGTTTGTCCTTGTTGGACAGTGAAGTGAGTCCGGCAGGGACCACCGTCTCCCCCTACCCCACCCCTTTGTCTACCCTTTCCCATCCAGCAGCTGTCCCCCTCCTCACGCATACACACAAGTTTTTGTCCTTTGTTTTCCTCCCTGGCCAAATCCCCAAGGCTTCTTTGGTCATTAACCTCCTGCTTTAATTAGCTTAGTGGGGAGGAAAGTGGAAGCAGGGCCAACTCAATGGTGGGTGTCTAGGGGGCAATCTCATCTGGGGGGTGGGAGGGGGCAGGAACGCTCAGACCAGCTGGTGACAATAATGTCTGGCATACAATACGTCCCACGCAACTGTTTGCTATTCTATTAACTTGAAAAACTGTCACCTGGTCCGCAGAGTGGGAACCTTCTACCCAACGAAAGCCCCGGGTCCCCAGAGCCACGGCTCCCCTAATCCAGGCTCTTGGGGCAGAGAGGGGACAAGAGTAGAGAACAGGCAACTTCCACGGGGCCTTACCTCTGCATTTCTTCCTCTCCCACTCTTGCTCTCCCAAGTGGCACCCAACGCCACAGTAAGGCTTGTTGTTAATCTCCTGTTAAGCCCCTGATCCAGGGGGCACCCCTCCCCAACTCCAGGGCTTCCCAGGGGTTCCTCAGTCATGGCTCCTGTGCCTGAATCTTCTGCTTAGCAGAGGAGCAAGGGCCCCCGCACAGCTCAGTCCCTAACCTCTCCAGAGTCCCCCCGCCCGCCTCCACTGGTGTGCATTTTAGGGATCTGGGCTTGGCTCAGCCCTCCCTCAGGGCCTCACAGTGCCAGGTCTACGAAGATCTCATCTGTCCCCCAGCAGGACTTGACCTCACAAACTAGTTCAGACTTCTGGTTTCCAAGGCGCCCCAGAAAAGGACACCTACTCTTGTAGCTCACCCACCCATTCTTATAAAACTATTTTGGGAAGTTCTACTTAAAGTCTGACCTCACGCCCTCGTGCTGCAGTGCCATCCTTTCTCCTCTTTAGAAAGACTAGGCATAAGAGTGCAAAAGAGATGCTGCAGGTGCAGGGTAAGGGGAGAAGCAACGAGTGCGTTATCCTTCCACTTCCCCAAACTCGCTCTAAAAGTACCCGAGTCCCAATTCATGCCTTAAAAACTTATTTTCACTTTCACCAAATTCCCAGCGTCAAAGGAACGAAATGAGTTTTCAATGCGGAAGAGCCGGTGGAATGATGGTGGAGGATAAGCAACAGATCCCTCCAAGCCCATGCACGGCCCAGGCCTGAAGGAAGTCTGGGTCACAGCCCATCGCCTCTCTCCCTCCTTCGGTGGCACCCAGAGCTCATGACTTTCACCCGAAAACTGTTCAGTCACCTCATGCCTTTAAGACGGACTCTGCCTCCCCGCTCTCTGCCCCCACCCCCACCCCACCCCCCACATCTCTCCTCT